AAGAGGACAGAGGACTGAAATCAGACCAATGGTTTCTGACCCTTTTTTTGGCCAGTGACACCTGCAAAGCTACTTGCTATCATCAGTAACTAGGATCAGAACCCCTATGGCTGAGAATATCTCATCAGTTAACTTTGGACACACTCCTCACAAAGCAATATAGCCCAAGATGTGAGGTTGGGCACACTGGGGGCTATTTCTTATCTTTGATTCTTCTCAAATTTATCAGAAACTCTATTCCTGAAGTTCCAGATGCAAACCACATCATTTCCATTTAATGTGACAGATCTGCACTGATAGATGGTGTTGACATCCCATGATATATTGGAACATCAGATTTCCTGCTGACAAAATCCTGGGTCGGTTTGTAGGAGCAAGTCAACTTAGTAGAAAATACCATATTGACTTTTCATGTACGAAGGCTCTAGTTTCTGACTTCTTGAGTGCCTAGGGAAGGTTATTGCCATTGGAAATGAAAGCTTGATTGATTAGGACAGAGATGTGCCTTTTAAAAGATTGAATTGCTGGCCTTAAAGGATCAAATTCAACTCTCAAGAGGGAGGCTGCCCTTATAATTCTCTTTTCTCCCTAGGCAGTTGTGATTCTTTTTTTTCCCCCATGCCTTGAAACAGTGAATTGTGGAAGATCATACTGTGTGAATAGTCTTGTGTAAATTGTCCCTCAGGTCTAGGTCTGGAGATTATAATCTATTAGTAGAAACCTGAAAAAATCCACAAAATACAGGCAAAGAAAGAAATGTTTTCTCATTTTGAATGATGTCTGCAGGAGGGTGCTCTCAGTGGGAATGGACATTCCATTATAAAAGTTAAAAAATGTAGAGTACTTAATAATGGCTTCACAGATTGTCCTGGCATGCCCCTGGACACACCATACGTCTAACTATAGCTGTGACTTCAGTCCGATTTAACTCCGTTTCCTCGTATCTGATCAGCATGCTGCAAATGCTGGGCATTCTCTACCCTTCTCTTGAAGTAGACATTAGGCTGCTGGTCTGGACCATTTCTATCTAGATGATGGTGCTACCTGTGTTCAAGTCCCTTCTAAGGCTAGCTCTAAGTGGCTTCAAGGCAAAATCTTATCTTTTAATGGCACACAGGAGCAAACTGGATGGTCAGAGATGTTCTAGGCAGGGAATTATGTTGATGCCCAACCTATTATAAATTGGCACTTGCATAACAAGGTCAACCAATTTGGTTTTTGCCTTTTATAAGTTACTTAATTTATATGGTTTTGGTTAGACAGAATCTGCACATGTACACAGTTCAGGAAGTGTGGAGGAGTACATGGTGAAAAGTTACTCTTCTTGCCTTCATCCTCCACTGACCCAATTTCCCTGTCTTGTAACATCTATTTTTACCCATTTCTTTGTTCTTCCAAAGATAGTATGTACCTACATTCATCCACACATACATGGATATGTGTATACGTGCATATGCTTTTTCATACAAATGATTGTGTATTCTATACCTTGGTTTTAAACCTAACAGTATGATTTGAAGCTGCGTCAATCTTTTTTGACTGCTGTATAGTATTCCATTTTGTGGCTCTGTTATAATCTATGCAATCAGTTGCTGTTAATAAACTTGTAAATCATTGCCAGGCTTTTGCTGTTACAAACAACTCTGCAGTTGACATCTTTGTACATCCATCATTCACATATATATGAATATATCTGAAGGATAAGTTTCTTGAAGTGGATGTGACAGAACTTATTTTTGTCATAATTAATGATATACTTCTGGTTCTTATTGATGCTTTTATTTCTGTCTTTTACTATGTGGTCTGTGTTTTGTCTTTCCTTTTGCTGATAATATGAAAGATTTAAATTCTTAGTGGTTTATTTTTATAAGAATGTAGTATACTTAAGACCACTATTTCTTTGGGGCACCTGGGTGGCTCAGTCATTAAGCGTCTGCCTTCGGCTCAGGTCGTGATCCTACGGTCCTGGGATTGGGCCCTGCGTCGGGCTCCCTGCTCGGCGGGAGGCCTGCTTCTCCCTCTCCCACTCCCCCTGCTTGTGTTCCCTCTCTCGCTGTGTCTCTCTCTGTCAAATAAATAAATCTTAAAAAAAAAAAAGACCACTATTTCTTTGATTAACATTCTTTGACTCCTTACTGTATATATAAATGGTGAAATCAGCAATTGCCATTTATTCTCCCCAGTATTCCTTCTAGTTTTTGACTTTTGACTTTTATATTTTTCTTAATGTTTCTATTTGTATATTTTAAAAAGTCATATTAAATGATGTTTATCAGCTTTGATGCCTGGGTGTGAAAGTTAAGGAACTCTCTACACCTACACTACCTTCCTCTTTATCCTCTTTTTCCTTTGAATTATGTTATTTATATAATGTTTCCATTGTAAGGAAATCTTTCTTTATCTTGGATATCCAGGACTTTACTAGGATATGTCTCAGTGTTGATGGTCTGATGTGAGTTTTTTCCCCTTGAATAAGAAGTGCCATTTAGAATTTAGTTTCCAGTCTCATTAATTCTGGAGCTCATGAATGTTAACATCCATCTTAGCGCTGACTTAAAGCTTTGCAGGCCTCAGAACGAGGGAGGTTCAAGATAGTATTTCACTGACTCTGGGACATCCTTTTTTTTCCCAAGGGGACATTTCAAATTTTATAAAGATGTGCCCTTCCAAGGTGTCATCTTAATTTTAAAGGGCCCCAAATAAATCCCTCATAACTTTTATTATTCACTTTTAGCACCCTTCTTCCCTTGTTACTACAGCTTTAAAGTGAGCTATTATTTGTAGGAACCTTTTAAGGTACAAAAATGAATGACCTTAAAACTTATCAACTATATCTCCAAAAGTCAACTTGGGGCAACAGTCTAAAAATCTCAGAGAGAGGGGTGCCTGGGTGGCTCAGTCATTAGGCGTCTGCTTTCGGCTCGGGTAGTGATCCCAGGGTCCTGGGATCGAGCCCCGTGTTGGGCTCCCTGCTCAGTGGGAAGCCTGCTTCTCCCACTCTCACTCCCCCTGCTTGTGTTCCCTCTCTCGCTGTGTCTCTCTCTGTCAAATAAATAAAAAATTTAAAAAAAATCTTAAAAATCTCAGAAGGAATGTTGTTATGTCCTTGCTCTGCAATGGCGTTCTCAAAAAGCCCCATTAACAAGAATTTGAGTCTTATTCAGGTTTACTGAGTATTTGGTACCAAGAGAACTGATGACGAGTTTCTTATAGTTCCAGAACTCTCATACTAGAAAACTTGACTCTCCTCTTTCAGAAGAGCAAAAAATATTGGCCCAAAATATTTATTGGTAGTTTTAAAAATTATCATTCATATCATATGCTTCCTCAGTTCAGGTATTTCAAAGATCAAGCAACTATGTCCCTTACAATTTACTGGGTGTCCCATTAGATTTCTAAGGACTGGCAAAGTGATTCTCTATTTTATTCACCTTATTTAACTTTAGAAAGGGTATACATTTCAATAATTCATCTTCAATCATTCCACAAATATTGAACAATGCCAATTCTGTTTCTAGAGCTGTTACGGGTGAGTGGAGATAGAGAGATGACACCAACGACAGAATTTAACATTTATTTTGAATTTAGGATGTGCCAGCCATTGCATGAAGCATGAATTATCACATAAAATCCTCAAGATATTCTCATGTCTTAACTTTTGTTGTTGTAATACACAACTTCAATATCTCGGTGGATTACGACAATAAATATGGATTTCAGGATCATATTACATTGGGGCTGGGGGTCAGCTGCACCATTGCGGGCCTGTGCTGAGTTCTACATGCGTTCTCATTCTGAAAACCCAGTTAAAGATGCTTTCTGAGATAGCAAAAAGGCTGGTGGAAACTTGCGATGCTTCTGAAATCATCTTTTCAGTCATGACAAATATAGTCTTTCATGTCTTTTTAGCCAAAGCAGGTCACATAGCCACACCCAAAGCCAGTGGAGCAAACAAGGATACTCCATTTACCTAGAACGCTGGTAACGGCCATGAGAAGACAAATAATCATACACAAAAAAATGCAATCTGCCCCAATTTGCTCTTCTGACCACAAGATGCTCTCACCTCTTCCCAAGATACTTAAAACTACCAGGCACTGGGCTCAGAAGTCCAGAATCTCGTAAATATATATTATATCTCCTTGCTGCTCTTCTTGATTAGAGACCCATGAACTAAAGTGAAAAGTTGTCTGTCTTCTTCCTCCCCCAAAACTAATATAATACAATAGTGGAGTAGGGACACCTTATTAAAAGATTGCAAGAATGGGAGGTACATACCAGTCACTGGTTAGTAGCAGTTCTGATGTTCCACTGAGCAAAAGTCGCAAGCTTGTCCACCCTGATGGTAGGGAATGTTCCTTGATATATTCCAGTTACATTTTCTGGGAGTCATTTCTCAGCCTGTTGTTCTCCATGAGGTTTGACTGGACAGCTCTTCCTCCTCCATTATCCTCCTTGGCCTCTTCTGACGTGAGTATTGGAAAAGATGCCATTTGTGACTGAGAAGCTATCTCAGATTGCTTCGCCCCTATAGAAGATTAGAGACCAAAGGGTTATTTTATGATTTGAATACTTATAGTCTCTTCTAATCTAGGTTGGGAGTGCTTTGGCAATAGATTTCTCTATAAAACTGTTTTTCTTTTTAATCAGTTTGATTCCAGTAAGTTCCATGTAAGTCAATAGCCATACCCATTACTTTTTAAGAAATACCTTCATAGGTACTTTGATCTTATCAAGCTTCAGACGGACTGCACCTTAATTTCTTTTCCCTGAGCCATTTGTCTAACTGAGATAATTTACTAGAGCCATATTAATCTAATCAGTAGACTTGACAATGGGTGTGTTGGATCTGTGAGCAATCTTCATCTTAATTTGAGACTCTTTAACCTGTTAGAAATGAGAAAGTTTCAATTTTCAACCCTAAAAGTTCTGGAATTTCTGGATATTTGCAGCTCTGCTGGACTCATCTTGGCTCTGCTCCTTGTGTCTTCTCATTCCAGAATCCAGGATGAAGAAGTAGCCACTGCATGAAACTTGATGGTCTCAGGGTGAAGGTTTGAACATCGTGGGAACATGCAATGCCTCTGAAAACCTCAGCTCAGGTGAGGCAAATGGCTCATCTATTTATGGCCCATCTTGGCAAGTCACAAGGTCCACATCCCCAGTCAGTGGGATGAGGATGTCTACAGGAAAAACTGAAAAAGAGGAAAAGGAAATGGATAATTGTGAATAAATGATACAATTTCCATGCCTCATGAGGCAGATACTGATATGAATCTCTTGGTAGAGAAAGAACTTGAGGTACAGAGAGAAAATTGAGGCACAGAGAGGTTGAGAACCTTGTTCCAAAGTCCTACGGCATCTTATTGGTAGAGCCAAGATTTCATCCTGGGGAGTCTGACTCCATGGTGTTGAATCATTTTCTAGATTCTTCCTCTGGGAACTCTCATTTTTGTGGAATAACCCATATCATCTTGTCTAAATTTTCAGCAGGCTTTAAGAAAAACAATTTTAAAGAAGACTCAAATATGGCAATAATAAAGCTTTGTAAAATGCTGTTACAGATTTCTTTGAGAAATAATTCATTAAATTGATGCCAGTTGTAACTTGTGAGATCATAAAGCTCAGTGCAGGAATACTGAAAACATGAAGGTAACCTTATCACAGCATGTTCAATAATTGGATCCCTTCAGAGGAGTTCTGAGCTTCCTCTCAGAATTGCTATGCTACACTTCCACCCAGAATCAGAGAATATAAAAACTTAAGGTATCAGATAGTGAAATGAGTTCAAATTACTGAGTGTTACATTCAATTAAGGAAATCTTTTAGGACAAATCTTAAAAAGATTAGCCTGTCTCTGGATTAAAAAAACTCTTTTCAAACAACAGGTCAGAAAACAGTGATTCAAGCCATGTTACAAGCCCATCACAACAAGTGTTAGAATTCCAAGTGAGGTGTTCTCATCCTTGACTCTTCATCCTTTTCCTACTCTCACTTCTTCAGAACTGGTTCAGATTTTCCTGGAAGAATTTCCTGTAAATTTCATTCAGGCTTATCTCCAGAGAGGCATGGAGATTAGACCTATTATAGGCTGCAGCTCCCAAACACTCCTTATATTTATATGCAGATTAAATCAAATGAAAATAAAATCAAGAGTGGTCTTGAGGAAAGGGTCTCCTAAAACACAATTGATACCCTGCATGATGTGTACAGCTCGAGAGTAGCAAGGGGAGAGGTGACTTGGTTTTATGATACTGGCTCTGCACGGCCTTATGGAGATGGTCAGTCAGGGCTAAAAGAATGAGGGAACCACCACAAACCTATTGTAAGTTAGAGTCAGAGAGAAGCTGAGGCTAGACATGTGCCCTGGCAGTCCTGCTGGAGAAAAGCGAGCCGGCGCCACTGGTATTTATCCATACACTGGGATAGATAATGTGCAAGCAGCTACTTTTCCCCTGAGAATTTCTTCAGCCACCGAATTAGGATAGGCTGACTACCAGAATGGACCATCTCCAACTCCTTGTAGCTTTAATGGCGTAGAAAGTTTATTTCTCACTGAAGTCAGAGTCTTGAGTATTTGATGAATGGCCTCCCATGCAGCATGCTGGCACCCCCGATCCTTCCATCTGGTGAATCCGCCATCTTTGGAGTCTCAGAGTTCTTCACCAGAGTTTTCCGGAAGTGGCATCTATTGCATTTGCCCACATTACATTGGCTAGAACTCAGTCACATGGCTCCATACACCTGTGTGAGAAGCTGTGAAATGTAGTCTTCCTGGAAGGTTAAGAGGGAAGTGAATGGACTTGAAGAACGTGTTACCAAGCCTTGGGGAGGGGAAACCCCTATAGGTAAAAATCAAGGGATGTCTATGCACTGAAGAAGAATGCAGCTGTTAAGTCAAGGGGGTTCTCTGCTCTTTTGCTAAAAGAAGTTTTGAGTCCTTGGCATCTGGTACAGAGCTTTTCACGGTTCAGTTGCCACCTACTTCTCTGGTTTCATCTCTTGCCACTCACTGCCCAGCCCCCCACCTTCTCTACCCCATGCGCTTAACACTCTGGCCAGATCAGGCTACTGGCTGTTCTTTGAATGTGTCACATATCTTCACACCTTTGGGCCTTTGCAAATGTTGTTTCCTGTTTGAAATACCAACTTACCCTCCATCACAAGAACCAGCTCAGACATCTTTTTTTCTGTGAGACTTTCCCTGAACTCCCTCTGGCAGGCTGAATTAATTACCACCTTCCTCACACTCCCACAACATCCTATGTATTACTTTCTTATAATTTTACTATGTGTCATCTTTGTTATTTGCTTACCTATATGTCTTTGCACTGTACCTATATGTCTCTGTACTGTAAACTGTGGGGGAATAACTGAATGAGATCCACACCTGGGTCCTGAAGGCTATTCAGTGTCTCACTGGAGAAACTCTTAGAGAACATAAGTCGAGAATCAGCCAGAAATTTGGAATACAATAAAAAGACTGAGTTTTATTTAAGAAAAGTTGTAAGCTGTTTGGAAATGTGTTCTAGATGCATTATTCATCTCTGGAGAAATAGAATAACTGTAAGTGTAGTAATGCATTTCTGAGGCCAAGAGAATCATGATGTTGTGTTCTTTGCACTGTTCACCACAATGCTGGTTTAGGTGCGTGGAAAGAATAAAACTGAGCTCAGTGAGAGTCTCTGATGAAATGCATTCTTCCTCATGGAGGAAGACTCAAGTTTTGGAGAAGTGCAGAAAAAAAATAAGCTTATATAAACATTTCATTGCGTGATCCCTCCCTGCAAAGGGTGCCCTTCTGTGGGGGACTGTGCAAAGCTCTGGTCTGAGTCCTGCTGAGACTTACTCAGAATCCTTTCCCAATCAATGGGCCTGAATTTCCACTTTACCAAAGTCAACACAGACAGCTACAGTTCAAAAGAAAAATTTCCATTACCATAACGGATTGTAATACAAAGCATTAGCTGAGCCTCTTCCTCTTTATCTTGGCATTTATGACTCTAGGCTTAGTAACTTTCAGGGTAAAATGAGTTCACCTTTTATTCAGATTTTTTATTTTCTGCACTCCTCATTTCATGTGGTTGTGTTTGAACAAGCTCCCAATCTTTCCTTCTCTCTCCCCTGGCTCTGATTCCTCAATGCTTCAGGCCAGCTTCTAAGACAGACTTTCCTAGCAGTCAATGCCATGGTTATTGTTCCCAGTTCTGTTAAAAATAGACCCTGTTCTGTGTCTTCAGTCCTTAAAGAATAAGAGGTGAGGTCATTTTCTGCTTGGAGAGTTGGAGAGTGGATCCAGACTGTGAGTGATTGGCACTAGCACATTCAGCTGCCGAAGGAACAGGTGTTAAAGTGACTTCTCCCATCCTATTAAATATCCTTTTCATACATTGATTCACAGACATGTTTCCATTCTCATGACTGAACAGACAACCCTGTAATTTGTCCACTCCATCCATTTTTTCCCACCCCCTGGCAACAGTTTCTCTTCAAGCATCTGCCTAGATTGTCTATTGTCTCTGTAAGTTCCTGCCCAAGGTGACTGGTAGAGGGATGATCTTATGAAATTAAACAGCAAAAAGGAAAAGGCGTGTAATTTATGAGGACCAGCAGACACTGGGTAATGGGGTTCCTCCTCCTGCTTTTCACCTGCTTTCTGATAAGAGCTTAAAGTTACTAAACCTTCAAGTCTCAGAAATGACTCCTCCACAAAACTGGGGGCAAAGCAGGGGGATGTATAGAAAGAGACAGAGACCTAGAAGAAAACACCCCTCAGACCTTCCTTAGACCTTTCACCAGAGCTCTGAACAGAAGTGGAAGAAACCCCCAAAGAAACAGACTCTAGATTTCCAAGGCCAGAAGCCATTTTTGGTCTCCCTGCCCTAAATGAGCATGCTTTCAGGTGTCACATCTGAAACTTTCACAGCTCTGTCATGGTGGAAGATCAAGACCAGGTTTCACCAAGAGAGGTGTGCTGCCTTAAGTGGCATTTTGAAACTCTAAGAGTAATGGAGCTAGAAGACAACTGCTTTACTGTTGGATTCTCAAATGCCAGAAATAGAGGTCTCTCTCTCGGAGTCATTCAATTTCGGCAGAGAAGAAACTTCCATCTCTTGCTGAAGGAGAAAGAGAGCACAAGCAGAAGGAGAGGGAGAAGCAGGCTCCCTGCTGAGCAGGGAGCCCGATGCGGGGCTCGATCCCAGGACCCTGGGATCATGACCTGAGCCGAAGGCAGATGCCCAACTGACTGAGCCACCCAGGCACCCCATATCATTATATTTTTTAATGGGTACATATTTTTCTCTTGTATATTCCACTATAATTGTATAGCCAACACCCTGTGACACATTTGACTGGTAACAAGCAGCAGTCTGTGGACTGGCACCAGCCTTTGGGCCACACCCTGAAAAGCTGAATGACAGAATACACACAAAATGACTAAGAATCAAGTGAAGCCAAGGAAGCAGCTCAACTCTGGGCCAGGGAAGTACCTGATAACCTTCAGAACTCCCAACACCTCAGGCCTGAAGCTGAAGGGGCACTACTCACATGCTCCTCAGGAATCTGAAGAAAACCAGACTGTTTGCAGGAGTGACAGGACTATCCTACTTATCACCAGTGGAGAAGAGCCCATCCTCGCTGGATCCAACAATTTACTTAGAGGTAGGAAACAGTAATGCTGAAGTCAGGAGGTGGACAAGATCTGTCATCACAGAGGATTACCTGCAGTCAACCAGATGTCATGCTGTAGTCTAGAATAGCCCTTTACATGCTGCTTCTGCCTTGACTTGTATTTCTCACATCCATTTTGCAACTCCTTCTAGTTTCAGGACAATCAACAACTGCCTTTCTGAAGCATGAAGATAAGTTAAATGTTTCCTCCTCCAAGATCTCGTAGTATTTTTCCCATCTCTCTACCAAAGCTATAAAATCTGTCTTCCAAATTAGCTACAAGATTCTAAAGGATAGGGGCCATGTTCCGCTAATCTTTAAATCCCCAGCAACTAGCTCAACTGACTAGGAATCTAAATGATATTTATAAATTCACATTCAACTTAAATGAATAATGAAAAGATACAAGTAAAACTGAACTTCAGGATCATCAAAGGAAACTCTTAATTTTACAGATGAGAAAACCAAGGCTCATGATAGTGAAGTGACTTACTCAAGGTCACAAAGGGAGGGGTTAAATTGGGACTCCTGCCTTTCAGCAGACTCAAGGAGAATGTCTGGTTTATAAGAGAACACTCAATAAATATCGGTGGAATGAAATTCTTTCTTTAAATTCAAGTTATTAACATATACCAGAATCTCAAAATTTCACTATATTAGCAATCCCCATCGTTGTGATAAATAATCTTCATCAGGGACCAGGTAGAGGAAAAGGAAGGAAAATACAGAGAGCACAGGGTCTTATTCACATTAATTTCCCTTGAAGTCCTCAATTCCTTTTCAAGGCACAGAGATGGCATTCTCAGGACCTTGAGGCAGCTTACTGCCTTCTAAGCCCATTTTTATAAGAGCTCATGTTCTCTTCCTATGTATATAAGAACTGTATTTGCCAAGCAAGTTTGCTGGTAGTGGTGTTAAGAAACAATTGTTTCTTCCTTAAAATCCAGCCTGATATTTCATTCAAGTGACTTCTGGTGTAATTGACCTCTTTAGCTCTGGAGAGGGAATAGCATGGAGTTGGAAGACATGGGCTTTCCTTCTGACTCTGCTGCTCTGCAACAGAGGACACGGTGTTTGCCTTCAGCTTTCTCAGAATTAGAGCTCTCCTTGGTAAAATGCCAGCACCAAGGCAGAGAGGGGGCTGGCTGATCCCTTCCATTTCCAACATTCTATGATTCTAAGTGTCAATCTTGAGGTATCTTTCTAGGAATGGTTTTATAGAGACAAATGAGTAATCAGTTTCTTAAAAAGTGCTCCTTGGTAATTTAACAATTTATTGTACCAATTAAACATGTAGATATGTTGGTAAAGGGAACGAAGCAATCAGAGCATAAAAGATGAATAACCCATCTTACCTACCTTAATGATGCTCACATCGAGTATGTAGAGAAATATCTCAATAAATCCAACAAATCGTTGGGTGTACAAAGGCCAATGGGATTAAAAAAAAAGTGAAATTCTTTTAGTAGGTTTGGGGTTGGGGGAAGTGCCTACGACTCTTAATTCTTAAAAAACACCACAGATAACTCTGATGAATATCTTGGTTAAGAAGCATTTCTGGGACTGATTTGGTAACTACTATGCTGGCATTTAACAAATTTTTTTAATGTTTAATAAATGGTTATTGTTAAAAAAAAAAAAAAAGAAAGAGACAGAATTCTTAAATGAATGTACCAAACACTAGAAATAAGGGAAGTATCAATTAGATTTCTTTCAAGTCTTTCAGCTGTTGTAGAATATATTACACATAGGATGTGTGGAAACCACAAAACATGTTTACAGTTGAGCAGGATAGCTGTTTGCAAAACCTCCAGTACAAAAATCAGGGTTAAGAAGACAATTTCAGTTTGTAAGCCCCAAGGGAGGGCAAGTGAGGACAGAATGGAAAAAAAGGTAGATTTTAGAGAGACCTGGGAACTAATGCCAAGCTTTAATATTGAACATATACCTGACTTTGAACAAATTATATCATTTCCTGAGACCTCAGTTTCTTCATGTGCAAATTGAGGAAATAAAATTAGATGACCTCCAAGGTCACTTCTGGTTCTAATGTTCTGTGCATGCCATATCTGTATTTCATATCGTCTGGAAAATCAATTCCGTAGAGTTACTGCCCCAATTTACGTCACTAGAAAATGGCCACAACTGTGAAATTGATCTCTTGTTGGTTTGTCTTAATATTTTCAATTTAGAAAGAGTCTCTGTGTGTGTGTATGCATCTGTCTGGGGTATGTATTTGTGTTGGGTGTTATATGCAGATTTGAAATCCTTAAAGTAACCAGGTAAAGCCGTTGTAGTTAGGAGACTGAAAACCAGAGGGTAAGCCATAGGAAAACATAGTACTTTTCTCTCTCTCTCTTTTTTTAAAAAATTTTTTTTTAATTTTCTTCAAATGACCCTTTACTTTTTCTTGTTTCTCTTTCAGAATCTGAGGAGGACTCCTGCAGGCCAGGGCACTGCTGCATGAGAGGCCTCTAGCAGGTTCCATCACTGCCTCTCAGGATCACTCTCATCCTCTCAGGGAAGGTTAGGAAGAGTTAACAGAAGAACCGTAAGTGTACCAGACTGGGGATGAGGCTCACCGGGACTAGGGACAGCTAATGATGATACCAAAATCACGAGGGAGCCGTGTTGAATTCTCAGGACTTTGTGTAGATTCAGAAGTACCTTAAGCGGGGCGCCTGGGTGGCTCAGTTGGTTAAGCGTCTGCCTTCGGCTCAGGTCACGATCCCAGGGTCCTGGGATCGAGCCCCGCATCGAGCCCCGCATCGAGCCCCGCATCGAGCCCCGCATCAGACTCCCTGCTCGGCGGGAAGCCTGCTTCTCCCTCTCCCCCTCCCCCTGCTTGTGTTCCCTCTCTCGCTATCTCTCTCTCTCTCTCTGTCAAATAAATAAATAAAATCTTTTTTTAAAAAAAAAGGACCTTAAGCAATATTCTTTCATGCCTTCTCAGTCTAGGGTTGGAAGTACTTTGGTGTTGTCTGGCTAAAGGGCATAAAGCAAAATCAGTTTTTCTCTGAACATGCGCTTTTGCCAAGCTTAGTCTTCCCCAGCCTGGTTATTTGGACTTGTGCTGTAAATTCCTCTGTATGCATGTTTCAAATAACAGACATTTTTCTCCTTTATTCATATTTTATAAAATGGTAGACAAGAGGGGTGCCTGGGTGGCACAGTTGGTTAAGCATCTGACTCTTGGTTTTGGCTCAGGTCATGAGGTGGAGCCCCATAGCAGGCTCTATGCTCTGCCTAAGTCTGCCTAAGACATTCTCTTCCTCTCCCTCTGCTGCCCCCCTTCTCTCTCTCAAATAAAGAAATAAACCTTAAAAAAAGATAAACAATAGTTAAACAATTTCAAAACAGCAATTAAAAACATAAAATTCCATGGTACAGATTCAACGTAATGCTCCGAATTATTTTATTTATACGACTGGACCAAGATAATTGGTCTACTGATCTTTAGCTGGTTTTTATGTGTGTATCCAGCAGTGTGTTATTAAAGAAGGTAAAGCAGATTCTAGCTTGCTGCTAAGCAGATGCTAGTGCTGGAAATGAGAGCTGGCTGGTGAGCTGGGAGGGGCCTCATTAGGAGTCTACTTGCTGGAGGTACTGAGGCAACCAGCCTACGGAAAAAGGGTCCAGACTTCACCGGGGAATAAAGCCTTATTACAAGTTGGATGAGGGGCTTCTGAATCTTTCACCCTGCTTTTTTCCTGGCAGCTTTCCAATAAATTCATATCCCAGGGAAAATATGTTTCCCTACATAAGGACTGTTTTCCTAAAAATTCTCATAAGACGCTGGGGGCACAAGGAGCGGGACTCCAGGGCCGAAGTGTGATGAGCTGATGATCAGTGGACATGACGGCCTGCAGGGAGGGTAGCCAGTGTGCTCAGCAGACATGATGTGGATGACGATGAGGACAGTAGAAATGCTTCAGGGAGGTAGCCTGGGAACGTACGGATGAGGCTGTCTTGGACAAGTATTACTGTACTCAACAAACACTGGACACCACACAAGGGAAATAGTAATGAACCCGGAGACACATTCTGAAGGTCCTCAGAAATACTTGGGGCAAGGGGACACTGAATGCAGGGAACCAGGCAAGGCCAAGAAGCAGCAAAAATATTAGTGACAGAGGGCAAACTCTTAGTTTGTCCTCCTGGAACTTATGATCTAGTGGGGAAGACAAGACCCTCACTCCTGAAAAACTAAGAAATGATAAGAATAGGAAGTGATCAAGCACTACTGCATTTTGAGATCGTAAATCACAGCGGTCTTTGTGAAGGAAATGGGATCTGACATGGCCTTAAAGACAGAGTGGGAATTGAAGAGGCAAAAAGTGGTAACCGCTGTAGTCGAGGAACAAAGCCTTCTGACAAGGGCCTTGAGCCATTGCCACATACCATGGAACACACTAGGAATTTTATGCAATGTGTGACTAATCCTCATAAAAACTTGTAAGGAAGATTGTACTTTCATCATTGTATGGAGGTGAAACACGGAGGCTCAGCTAGATTAAGCGACCTTCCTAAACTTGCAGTTAGCAATCGGGAGAACTGAGTCAAGAGCAGATCACAGCTCCACCTGTTCCCTAAGAACAGTGAGAACAAGAATGTGGCACAACAGCGAGGAAACCTTGAGAGCCAAGCCAAGCCACACCAAGGTTTGTGGGCTGTTCTGTAAGGAAAGGGGAAGTCACTGGTGATGTCGGGGGAGGGGCAGAGAAGCCCACTGCAATATTCATCATGGTTGGGCTAATTAGGAATTAGGAAGAGCCTGAAAACAAAGGCAATCTATATAAGGTGCACTAAGTGCACCTATATAAATAAAGGTGCATTTAGCAATCTAGACCCTACAGAATTAAGAGGAATGGTGAATTGAACAACATTTGAAAGGAAGGAAGTACAGGCTTTGGTGACTTGTTCTTAATAAGGACCATAAAGCCTAAAGAGACTTGGAAAACTCTCAGGAAATGCTGCCTTCTATTTGGTGGCGAAGCTGGGCCAGACCATAAGTCCAGGCCAGAACCAGAGGCCAGGGATCCTCAGACTCATGAAACATCAACTGAAATTCCAGGTCAGGAATTGGTTGTAAGAATGGGCCCGGAAGCAGGCATTGGGCAGGATCAAAAAGGCTAGTGGTAAGGAACTCTCTGGCTTCCCAGAGTTCTTATCAGATCCAATCAAGGGTGCAGGCAAAATAAGAGATTTCTGTAGACTGAAACCAGGGCCCCGCAGAGTATAAGAAGCACAGAACTGAGATGAAATCAGGAATTTCATTTGTCCTTGCTCCAAGCAAGGAGACCAAGGGAAGCAATCAGCTACCAGCCTCTTAGAATTATAGTTTTAACTGAACTGTATTTTAGTGAAGTCTCAATCTTGTTCTCCTTTACATACATGATATTCCTCAGCTGGAATAGTTAGTAAGTTACAGTGCCCTAATTCTCATCCTGGACTGTGTGTGTGTGTGTGTGTGTGTGTGTGTGTAAAATTGTCTAATGTTAAAATGTATCATTAATTTATTTTCTAGTGTCTAGGTTAGAATATAACTATGTGATATATATCAAATGAATTTCATGGCTACAGTCCAAATGTAACAAATGAATCATTTAAAACTATCCGCATATTGGTGATGCCAAATTTTTCATTTTCTTCCATTTTATTAATGCATCATATCTCAGCTCAAAATCAATCTATTAACCTTGAAAACATTTTGAGCTGGAATGAGAGCTAGCAGTGAACTTTGTGACCTTCCATGTGATATTAGTCATATTTAGCAATTATTATTGGCTTTGAGTAATGAGGAGCCAGTTGAGACAGGAACAGTAACATGGCGGTTACCAATGAACTAAACTTCAGAGACCACAGGGAAAATGAAGAACATGAAAAATCAGGCTTTTTAAATCTCAATCTTGTCTTCCATAAAGCTCCTGCCTTAAAAAAAAAAAAATTGAACATCTTGGCAGCTATTCTGATAAATTACACATAAATACTCTAGTAAAATCTTTGTTATGAGATAAGGAATTCTGTTCAGTGAATTTGAAAGGCAACTGAATATTAAAAAAATGATGTGTCTGCCTTCTAAACCTCCAGTCGGATGAGTCTGATGGATTTCCCAGGTGCTAGGACTGTTGACTCTGCCATGAGCCTGGAGGAACGATACAGGTGGAAACTGAGCAGCATTATTTAAAAAATTAAAGTCCAAGTAAATGCTTCAACTAAAAATGCCTTAGGAATACATAAATATATTATCCTCTGGATGAATTTTATATTACGTTATATTGATTTTAACACAATATAAAATATAATATAGATACTTTTGGATTCATAACATGAAAGAACAGTTAATGATTTGCCCATATGGGACATATGAAAATACCTCTCTTAAAGTCTTTTGCCATGTTTTATGGATTTTCCTACTTTCATACTACTAACAGTTTGGAAACTTGTTATCATAAATGGAACATTTTTCATCTCTATTACTTGTTAGACATCAAATAAAATAGTGTCATCTTTACTGTAGAAGAGCCCAACTTCATGGATTTTGAAAGTATTCTAGTTGTACTATTTTCTTAATTTAAGAATATTTTACATATAAACAACCTCAGTTCATCTGCAGTCCCTAAAATATATATACATAATTTTATAACATTACTCACTGAAGAAAAGAAACACCAGATTTACCTCTAATACCAAATATTGAGTAACTTCTACTTCCAAATTGAATTAAGTTTTTAAAAAGTTAGTTTCCTAGAATCTTTGCTTATGTTAACATAAAGAAAAAAACATTTATTCACACTGATTAAAAAATTAATATAAAAAGATAGCCAAACCACACTGTAAGCTGTGGAATCTAGAAATTTGGGACTAAAGATGAACCATCTCTGTAAGAAAAATGGGTAATGGAAAGTCACTTTCTGTAAATATACTCAGTGACTCTTCCTGAGAAAGAAATTAACAATCGCCTGCTGACTTCAGAAATTCTTCCAAGCAACCTAGAATTATGAAAATTTATTCAGTTGAGTTGGGAGAGATAGTCCAATTATACTGGAAACCAGAAATTTTGCAACCAATTTTTTGGGAGATTTTAACCAAGTTTTTTTTTTTTTTCCCTTGTCTTTTGGTTTTGCTCACTATTGCATCGTATTAGCTGAAAATGTTCTGAATAGCTATACCAAAAAGAATGAGTGGGCCCACCTGATATACTTTCAGTATACCCACTGAACATTTACTACATCACTAGGTTCATTGTCAGTGCTCAGTTGCTCTTGTGTTAAAAATCCCAAGTCAGTGAATAACTCAGAAAATGGGAGGAGCCTCCCCTTCCAGAAAAGATCCAAATAAAGATCTTTGGGGGTAATTACAGGAATAAGCAATGGATCTGATCTACTGAGGCTCCAAATACATTGATTCCTGTCTATGAAAAGGATCCAGAGGCCAGGGTAAATAAAATAATTTGCAAATAGCTTTGAGTCTTATTGTGCAAGAGAATTGATTAATCCTGAGGTACACTGGTAGGGGACTAGGGCTGATATGGGTTTTATTCCCACAATTCTCAGACAACAGTAGAGGATTAAATCACAAACTTGTTTTGAGGTTAGTGTTTTTACCAGGAACATGTTTAGAAAGAAATATTAGAATTTACTTTTAGTCTTCCTTTGTGGCAAGTAACAATGTATGTGTTT